GGATACAGAGTTTTTGCTAACGGTTATGCTGGCCCGTCTAACGGTCTGATGCTAACGGCTAACGGATACATGTCTCTTGCTAACGGTTGCACTCTCCGTGCAAACGGCCTGATGCTAACGTCTAACGGTTGGGCTAACGCCTCTAACGTTTTTAAGAAACGTTCTAACGGATGACTAACGGATGCTTAACGCTTTTGCCCGTCTAACAGATAAGCGTTAAGGTACGTTTTCCCGTTCACGGTCACATTTTGGTAAGCGGTTTAGTTTATAGTCTGTTTTGTATTTTCCTCTTAGTTTTCTGCCGTCTTCGGTTGGTAATTTGTATTGATTCGTCTTATGTTTATCTTTAGGAATTTGCCTTCCTCCTATGGAAAGTCAAATAAATTTGCTGGTCAGGACTAATTGAATCTCAGTTTAAGTTGTCTCTGAAGTCGGCCCTCTGCCTCTTCATAGAACAAAAGAAGCCTTCCTCTCACTGAACTCAGACAACTGTAAAGTACTGGTGAAAATTTCATTCCAAGTTGCTTTAGCTACCCATTGTATCACTTGATGAGTATTCCCCTCTGAGGGCCCCTCCAAGGTCTAATGTCCCCCAGTCTCACTTTCTTATTAACCCGATTTTCTTCATAAATTTCTTGTTGCTGATGTAGTGACTGTACATGTAGGTACATATAAATGTGTATAAATGTACTAACCACATCTGTTTTTACAAGCCTGGAAAGCGAATCATTTTTTGATTGCAGCCATTAAGTTATTTGTATCAACTGGATTGTGTATCAACAAACTAAACAGACTGATGTACAGTGTCTTCATTACTGATTACATCACACATCAATTATTGCTTTTTTGTTCATAGAGCAGTGCACAGGTGACCATTGAAGAGAGTGATAATCCTGGAGGAACATTTCAATTCAAAAGTGACACAGCAATTTCTATACAGGTGAGTTTTAAGAAATGTAAATTTGGCCTTGGGTTCTCAAGAATGCTTAATCAGAGTTGCCAACGGTCAGGAAATGATCAAGGAATAAAAAGCATATGTTCCTCAAGTAATATATCAAACAAGAAAGATCATGTTTGATCATATTTCCAAACACAGAGAAGAGAGCTGAAAATATGATGTACAGTGGAGTATTTTTGATGAACTTCGAGGTGTTTGGAAATTTGGTCAAACACTGTCTTGATTGTTTGATACATGTTCTTAATCAAAACCTAAACTAAGCAGAAAATGGGGAAATAAAATCGCAAAAATCTGTGCTAATTAAGATCAGATATCCAAACACTGTTATGGTCATGATTTCTGTGGTTTAAACTTGATGAATTATTAATGAGTTTGAGTAGGTCAGGGAAAGTTAGGGTTAGAGATGTCAGGGAAATTTGAACTCATAATACCACTGATTTAATACCGTTGAAGGCTGGAAAAAACATCTCAGGTCACTCTGATTTCACAATGTTTTTCCTTAATAACAGAACAAACTACAGAAGGTGAATTTTTTGAAAACTTATTAGTCTTACAGAAATGTGCAGAAAGGATCGTTATCAGGGGAGGCTAAAGGCCACTGCTAAATCTGACATTTTGTACATGTTTTTAGCTGGTCAGGGAAATTACATATTTATTACATAAAAGTCTGAAAAGGGAGGGAAATTTGAAACCTGATGGCTGTGGCAGCCATGATAATGCAGTTCATTAACAATGTCTTCATCAATCAAGAGTCTGGACAGCCCTAGAAACTTCTAGGAATAGCGATATCATCTTTGTTATCAATTTGTCATTGTAAACAGGATTTTTTTTTGCACTGTGTTTTTTTAGTAGTTTTCTTATTATAAGATGTTGTACAGTATATAAAGTTTTGTGTGTGCCACTTACACAAGTTATTCTATGACTTGGATATACATGTATTGACATACTGTACTTGACCCAGGAGTGGCCAAAGTCCAAAATTGAAATCAAAAATCGCAAGAAATGACTTTTTGCACAACAATAACATACTACTGAGAAGCTTAAGTACATGTACTTACCAAAGGGTGATTTCTTTTTCCACAGTTTAACAGAAACGGAGTCACATTAATAGACTTAACATGTAGGCTCAAGTAACAGTTTATGAGATCATGTATTCGTTTATTCTTTATGTAGGAGGGCCAGTCCTTTAATGTTGTTATCGAGCGGCTAGGTAGTGCATTGGACACCCGCTGGGTAGCCTTTAGAATGACTCCATCTGGTAAGGGTTATTCTTTTCTCACAATACTATTAATTTTCACTAGCAAGGCTGAAACGGTTTTTCTGAATGAAATGGATAGGTGTCCTTCTAACATTTGTTTCTTTCTAGTTATAAACTGCACAGTAGAAATTTTGGATGTACCTGTTCTTATAATTTTGGAGTTTGTTATTGGTACTGACTAGATTGATGAAAGATACAAGTACATTAAGACAAATTGAATTAACTATGAAAGTGATAGATTTGCAGATTATTTACAACATCTCTTGAAATATTGTAATATTCTGATTGAAATTTGTTGTAATTCACATATCATGATTGAAACATTCTCACTTAATTTCAGGAGCCAATGAATTTTATGGCAGTGTGAGTTCTGAAAAATTCCTTCCTGGTGAACGACAAAGGACAGTTTTAGTGATTGCCATAAATGATGATGTTCCAGAGGTATGTATACATTGGAAGCAAAACTAATCCATATCCATGGGATATTGTTCTCAGGAATAAAGATTTACCGGTCTTTAAATTTTTTGTTATCAGTTAAACATTTTATTTAGTATTTGCTGTCTTTGAGTTTTATAATCAAGATTGCTTCAAGCTCAACAACTCTTCAAAATGTTGTACTCTCCTCAAACTGTGTTGGAAAATGGTATGGTGCATGCAGTGTAAATGCAGTTAGTGAATACAGATCTTTTTAAATTGTTCAACATACTTTGGGTAGTACATGTGTACATCTGTTTATTTTATGAGAGCTGGTCGACAAAGAGCTGTTTGGTTTTATATGTTGTACACCACAATATCTTCACCCTATGCATGTACAATACAAATACTTGTTTGGAAGTATGGTTATCTTTAATCTGGATCTGGAAAATGCTGTTTTAGACAAAAATCTGGTCATTTTTGTCTATTTTGGCCCAACCAGTAATGTTACTAGGTCTTAGCAAATTAAATATCAGCAGAATTTATTTGGAGGTTCCTTCTAGTTCTCATCATTTAGACAGCTAGAACAGTATATTTGTTCTTTCTTCGTAGATTGATGAGACATTCACAATGAAGCTTTACAGTGAAGGGCCTACAGGACAGAAGGGAGTTCTTGGAGACCAGATATCAGTCAATGTTACTATTGTTGAAAATGATGATCCATATGGAGTGGTTGGATTTAAGTCTCCGAATATCATCAAAACAATCGGTAAATTTATATGAGTACCATGTACATGTATGTAAGAGTGAACCAAATGTCCTTCCCTTCCTTCTCCTCCCTACCTACCAACCTACCTGGACAAGTTACCTTTAACAACTGCATGGCTACATGGGAATTGGGTGATCGGTGGAATCCAGGTGCCTCCACTAGGAGCTCAATCAGCGGTCCCTAATGATAAAGCACCTGACTCCCATGGTTGGCAACCCCCACAACTCAGCCATACACATGTACAGTGTAGCTCCAGTGCAAGTCCTTGTGGCACCCATCACACTGAACAGACAGTGGAAAAAAGAGGGGGATAAGATGATGAACAAAAAGCACAAATCAGAGAACTAGAACTCAACACGCATGAACAAAATGCTACAGCTGAAGCTCTGCACAAATGTAGGCACAGGGTCTCCTTGGAGCATGCTTAACTGCTTACACTGCTGACCACTAGACGGCAAGGATACCATTTTTTGTTGTTAACTTACGTAGTGGATTTGCATTTCACTGCATTATGTTATCAGTATGTTACTTTTTATTCTGTGATTTGAGTTAAATACCACCATTTGTATTTGGCAATCCAGATGAATCCAAGCTCAACACAGAAAGTGCCAGCTTTGAGGTTTTCCGTGACAAAGGAACCTTTGGTACTGTGTCTGTTTTCTGGAATATCACTGCTGATAATGGTGCAGATCCATCTCTAGATGTCTCTCCAGTATCTGGCATGGTTACCTTCTCAGCTGGGGATAGCTCTAAGTTCATAATCATTCGCTCTCTGCAAGATACTGTGAGTATTCAATTCTGTCTAGATATATGATGTGCTTGTGACGTTTAAATGATGACAAGTGAGATTTTATTGTAAAAAAAAAAAAATTGGCAATCTGCTGTTTGACCCCTTTCTCTTGTCTAGACTTGAAGGCTTTTAATTGTATGTATAGTAAGTGTGCAATAAGCTGAGATATCTGTTTGCAATGCTGTAACAATAACTGACAATTGCCAGCCCACTATACTAAATAAAATGCTAATTGTTGGAGAGTGCCAGCAACCCTTATTTTCAAATTGACTTCCTTCATCTCCCATTGTCTGCTTAATGCAGGTACCACATTATTTAATGTACATGTAAGTTTGGTTTACGATACTGTATAGATGGAACTTTTTATCTATTGGTCCAATGAACCATATATATGAATATTGGAAGAACACTAGAAAAGGTGGTAAATCATGAGGTGAAGGTGATTGATTTGCAAGGTTTCTGAATGTCTCTCCAGCTCTCTAAATGGTTTATTGTTTTTGTATTAGTTTATTATATTGTTTTTTTTTTTATATTATTATATCCTTGCGACTTACCAACACAGCTGTCAAATAGCTACTGAACAATCAGTATACTGTTAAATTCAGTTTTTGTCAGTTTTATTTGAATAGAGGTACTTTTTTGCCAAGTTCAAGGTAAAGATAAATTCTAAATGACAAGTTTCTTTATCTTGGATTTTGGGTGAGGGTTTTTTTAAATTGATCTTTATATTTTTACAGATTCCTGAAGGAAACAAATCATTCACAGTCCACCTGAACAACATCTCAAGCATCGCAAAGTTAGCTGTTCAGCAGTTGCGTGAAGCTACCCTTATCATAACCAAGAATGACGACCCAGTGTATTTTGCTCTACCTGTGTCAATACAAGTGAAAGAGGGGCATTATGCCAATTTCACCATCCAACGTGGAGGCGACGGTAGCAATGTTGTTGATGTTTTCTATAAAACAGAGGATGGTACTGCAAAATCCTCCTCTGGTGACTACCAGGCCAAGTCAGGAAAAGTGACCTTTAATGTCGGAGAGTTCCAAAAGAGCATTTCTGTGTTGGTGCTCAATGATAGCTCCCCAGAGGGAGTGGAAACATTTAAAGTCATTCTCACAAATTCAACTGGAGACACCGTGCTCTATAATGAAACTACTGCTACTGTGTCCATTTTGGCTAGTGACAAAGGAACAGGGGAATTCCAGTTTGCTTCCAATTCACTAAACAAGACAACAGAGGAGGGTGCCACTGTAGAATTTACGTAAGATACATTTACTTTATGATACATGTACTTTATGATTTATTGTCAACTCTGGGTGTAGAAAAAGCATTGTTAGGTTTTCATTATATGTACCCTATGTACCCTAACTACATTGGCTAAGATACATGTAAATTTTAAAAGATTACTGAAAGAGATAATGATATTGAGAAAACTACATGTATCCATGGCTGAATGGCTGTGAGCATCATGGGTATTTTTGATAAATTATTTTGGAAGATGATGGTGAATAAATACTGTATTTGACTCTCTCTTACATTCAGGGTTTGATCCCAATGCTAGTTGAATGATAAGTGGCCATCCTGATCTCTTTTACAGGTGTACAATGTACACACAAATTGAAAAACACAAATTGAAACACCTGTGTGATTTACCTGTAGTGGAGTTCATGTACATGTAGTTGCCCATGTTAGGCAGTAATGGTGCACTTGGCAGCATAATGTGATAAAATTTGTGCTGTTAGAGTGGATGTGCCATTCAGTTTGGTAATAATATATGATTAGTGTTATTATATAGTTAGGTGACAATTTTATTCATGTATAATTTTGAATTTTCTGCTAATGTTAATTTTTCTCATAGTGTTGAAAGAAAATTTGCTCAGTTTGGCGAGGTCAGGGTTTACTGGCAAGTTGTGCGTAAATTTCCCAATGGTAGTGTTACACAACTGTCACCAGGCCAAGAGTTTACAAATGTTGCTGACTTTGTTACATTCACCAATGGCTTATCATCTGAGTCTATAACACTGACACCAGTCCAAGATGGTATTGCTGAGCTAGATGAATCATTTGAACTTCATCTCATAAATGCAACAGGTAAAAACTATTTGTGCAGCTCCCAGTAATAGAACGTATATCTATCTGTTGGAGTAAATAACTAATTACTGTCGGTAGTCAGACCACTCTTTAAATGTTTATAAACCACAGAATATACACTGAGACCTTTTACGTTCATAAAAATTTTAACTTCATGATTACCAGGAATCCAAACGGGTCTGGATGGGATCATTAGCAGCCCATCAAGAGCTTTTCTAACAATTACTGCCAATGATGATCCAAATGGACTGTTGAAGTTTGCCGAAAGGTCAGTTGACATTCCAGAAGACTTCAAACCTGGGATGGAAGCTACTACTACCAAAAATTTGACAGTGTTAAGGGATCAAGGCTCGTGGGGTACTATCAGGGTAAGTCAAACGCAGTTTATAAGTTGCAATTTAATTTACATACAATTTTGTCGTGTCTACACATGTGCATGAATTTACCTAGATGATTTCTTTTGTGACAAAGCTGTGTACATGTAGGCATCCTTTGGACTTAAGGTCCATGGACCACTTAACCTGTTACCCCCTAAGAGTTCAAATTGGCACACAAGGTCATAAGTTTGTGAATATTTGATTGATTTCTATGAATTTTTGCCATGAAAGTTGTCTTGTGAAGATCTGCTCATTGAAGTCATAAAATTTTAACCCCCTCCCATCCATGGTTGACCACCCCCAGAAGTTTTTAGTTCCTTTTTGGGGATGCAAATGGAATGCAAGACTTGTTTCATATCAAGCTATGCACTAAGAACTGCTAAATAAGCTATAGTTTAGGGGTATACCTAATATAGTAGAAGACTGATACATTTTTGAAGTCGTTCATTTTCCCATTTTAAAGCAATTTCTCTCAAAATGTCTTCCTCTTTCATAGCTGCTGATGTCAATTCTTAAATAAGCTGATTAGTGGCTTTCAAATGGCATATTGTACACAGGCAGAGTGTCTTTATTTGCCGATTTGGGAAAACTGCCGTTCGCCTTAGGGGGTAAAGGGTTAAGGTCTATCAGGGTTTTCAATAAGTTTTGAAATAGTCGTCTGAGCTAACTAAAGTAGGCCGCAAACTGATGAATTTTTTTTAATAATTTGAGTGAAAATACAGACAAAGTAGGCAGTGGTAAGAGGTAAATTCTGACAAAATAGGCGGCAATTTTCGCTGGTTGCCGGCTTCTAATGAAACCCCTGGTCTATGGACTGTGGTCATATCTGTAAATCACAATTTGCACTGTGTAGCCACAGTGCAAATTGTAATTTGTAGATATGACTGCAGTTCTGGCAGATGAGCAGTGCCTTGTGCAGGGGCTGTGTACACTGGTTTTTAAATATATATTGCTATGCTGCTATTAATGCTATCGTGGACATTTAGAGTTGTTTTCTGCAACATCTTACACGTAAACTGTTGTATTGGGCACGCATCCCTATAAGAGGATGGAACATTAAAACTTTGGTCCCTCTTTTGTTAGATCTTGGCTAAAAGCCTGATGTGATTACTGGTTTGAAGGTACCTTAATTATCTATTCTAAACACATGCTGTATTTTTGTTTGCAGGTTGCTTGGGAAGTTCAGACAGCTGCAGCATCATTAGCCAGATCAGATAATGCTTATGATTTGTTCCTTCTTGGCTCAGTGATGTCAGGAGTTAAGAGTGTGCCTGCTCAGCGGAGGCCAAACACTGAGACTTATGTGTTTTGTTTTGATGGAACTAATAATGGTGAGCTGATCTAGATGCATACTGGATGCCAGTGGACTAGATGTGCTGGTTAACTTCCAAGGGGGACAGGAAATACTCCCCAAAACTGCCAGAGGGAATGTGCAGGCCCCTGCATACATGTATCTTGAGACCCTTACCCTTTTCAGACCAAAATATGTTCACTTATGGGTTACCCCACTTCAGTCATCTAAAATAAGTGCATATCACTATTACATGACTTTGGCTAACCAGGTATAGATTCTATATGAGTAATGTTTGAGAAGGGATTCAAACTTCCTGATTGAAATGGTTAAAATCTGTACCCTGTAGTGCTGCACATACCTCTATACCCTTTAGTTTGTTAAGGGAGTACCCCCCAGGTTTAGCATTAAGCTTGAAAATGCAATGTTTGTTCAACTCTTACAAATTCAGCACATGAAAATCAATCCCAAAATTTATCACACAAAATTTCATCTTTGAAAATTCTTTATGTGATATTTTGTTACATGTAGTTGGAAGTCGATGGTACAAAGAAGTTAATGACATGAATGAATGCCCACAGAATGAATGACCAAACAAATTTTTGTTCATAAAAATTTGTAATTTATGTGAAAAGAAATCACCGTAAAAATTTTTAGAACATGAGAAATCATCCCTTGAAAAATAATTCTGGTTTATTTATCATATAGCAAATGAAAATTAATTGACAGTTCCACATAGATTGATAGCAGGTGTATTAGCAATTTGCATGCCGTAAATGTGTCTTCACTGATGTTACTGGTAACTCAAGTGCTGCCTTAATTTTTCACAGAATCATTTGTTGAGGTTGCTGGTTTAACAGGTCTGGAATCCAAATTTAGTGTGAGGTAAGCAGTGCATTGTTTTCTTTATTACTGTACGTAAGAATGAAGTTATTCAGTCATCATTCTAATATGGGAATGTGCTTAACCCCTTTTTCCCTTACACAAACATACCAGATACCTTTCCTCTATTTGACCTAAACATTTTCCGTAATTGTAACATTCAATGAAGCCCTGACCTGGGTTAGGTCTTTATAGTTCCATTGTGGCTTGTGTCCTGTTAGTACCATACTCAGACTAGTAATGATATTAGAATGTGGCTAAATGCAATTTAGGCTTAATTAAATGCAAAACAATAATATTATTGATGGCAGCAGTCTCCCTCAGGGTGGTGTACAGGGTGGCTGGGGGATTTGTGCAGGGGTGGGCACCTTGATTTTATAGCTTGGCTTTGGATGTCAAGTCATTCTGCATAGTTTTCGCTTTTTTAAATCCAATTTCCTTTTTTCCTTTTTTGGTACCAATGGACTGTTGTTTCTGAAATATTTTGATAGTCTGACACTCATAATAGAGATCTACATGTACAACAACCTGAGATCTCCTTGGTTTACACAATTTAATTTTCAGAAAAATGTCCTGAGTACTGAGTACACGTATGTCTATCATGTGTAGCTCTTACAGGTGTAACTAATTTTCTTATAACTGATGCTTTTCAGACTATGGGTGAATGCTACCAAAGGGAAGTATGGTTATCTGATAGCCAACGTGGCTGGGAATGTAGTGAACTTTGCTTTGGCACTTAACACATCTGGGTCTTCCACAATGGCACACTTCTTTTACTCATCAAACAAGGTGAGTGAATAACTAATACGTCTGCCTAAAGCAATGCCATGCCAGATTCCAGATACTTACCAAGGGGGTAGAGAAGTCCGTGTTTAAACAGCTGCTCTGTTGGTTAATAGGCCACTTTCAATATATTAAAATTCAGCTTGATAGCGAGGCCTAGAGGACAAAAACAAGAGAAATTAATAAACATGTCATTCAATTTCCTTTGTTTGTGTCCTCTACGCCTCACTGCCAAGCTGAATTTTAATATTATCGAAAATAGTCTATTGATTAATCACAGATGACCTAGGGAGTAGAAATGTGATTAATTAGCCACACATTCAATATCAAAGGCCAAGTGTGGCTATCAGAATAACGGATTTTAAGATTTTTAAATGAGTCAGTGTTTTTCAGCTCTTACTTATCATATGTATGTACATTTTTGCCTTAATGTCATCTTTTTGTGCAAATCTGAGGCACTAAGTCTAACTAACAACAGTCGCGCATGGCAGCTACTTTGCTGTTTCTGAACAGTTTGTTTTCAATTTGTTGAAAATATACACAAAATTTCGACCAAAACGTCAAAGGAACATGGACAGAACAAAATGGTGTGGTTACTGTATTTATGATTGTCATGTGTGGACCTTTTAGATGATTGACTAAAAGCACTTCTCCCTTTTTTCAGACTGAGGTAAATTTTGGCAAGGACATAGCTGACAACAGCTGGCATTTTGTGGTTTTTACTGTCGATCCTACAGGTAACAATGAAGTTCAATTTTACTTGGATGGAGATCCAGCTGGCAATCCATGGTAAGGGTTTGAAATTAAACAATTCTGCATGATTTCTCTCTGCATTCATGGGACTTATTATATGTGTATGCATCGTGAGTCATGGATGCATGGATGTTCCTTTTCGAATGCATGTACATGTAGATTTAAAGTACTTGTACAAGTGGGTATAGAGTGGTTTTCAACAGAGTGTCATAAAACCAAAACCAAATCCAAGCCAATTACTTACCAATTTTACTACTCAGCCAATCTTAAATGGTAGCAAAACCAAACCAAAACCAAAACCAAAATCAACATAATTGCTTGATTACAATCAACACTCAATTGAAAACCTCTCTATACAAAAGTATGTTACAAAGCTATTAAACATCATTGCAACAGCCAGGTGTTTTCTGAAGACTTTAAACTGCTATCAAAAGATGCAAGGAACATTCTAATTTTGATGCTTTTTGCACCTGGCGGCTTTTTTGTTTTTTCCCTCCCTCTAACCTATCTACATGTGGGCAAGTACAGTATAATTGCCTTATACACACACAGTCTTTTCACAGTGCTGTGTTGGCAGGTGCCTCGAGGTGGGCTGTGTCAGGGCTGCCATGGTAACCTTGCTGCAGAGGAGATACTGCCCTCCTCTTCTGATCTGCTACCTTTGAGGCACCTACCCTCCAATATTTCAACTGGCTTACAACTAAAAAGTCCAAAACATACTGGCTGCCTGTCAGACAGATCTGTGATCAAATTTGTGATCATAAGACAAGTACAGGGAAGTATATAAATTCACAAGTATCAAGACTGTCACAATATTTTAAATGAATACTCTATGTTTAGGCCCATCCCCTCAGGATCATTTAGCCCTAGTGGAGTGTACCATGTAGGAAAAGGACAGATGTCAGAGGCACAGTTTACAGGATGCATTCAGGACATTACAGTATATCCTGAAGTATTGGTTGCAGAGTAAGTTGTTGCTGTGTTTACATTCTTCACACTTGTACAGGTTTAATAGTTGTATTGTCTCCATACTCTACATGTATGCCTATTGTACCAACGCAGCACCCTACTTTAGAGTTGTGTCCACTTTCAGACTGACAGGGGTGTAGCTAAGCGATGGCTGCCAGCTAAGTTCAGCAACCGAACCAGAGCTCAACATCAGCTGAATTTTCACTAGAAAAAATAGAAAACAAAGACTTAAAGGCAGATAGGCTGCAACCTAAAGGAGACTACTGACTTTCTTGATGTGGAGTACTTCCTCATCTTATTACTTGACCAAGTTAGTTCAGAGGGCCAATTTAACTAACATTGACCAATCAAATTGCTCCATTGCTGGGCCAATATTCTATAAGTATTGGACTGGGTACTGCCCCAATTTGATATTGCATGATCACTCTTGAAGATTTTCTGATAGTTTTATGGCTTATGGTTCTGAAAGATATCGCTTTCACTTTAAATGTTTCTTTTCTTTTTCTTCACACTCTCTTTCCCTTCTGTTTTGGTTTAACATCACACGTGAGGATTTGCCTAGTTGCGTTCCAATCAGAATGGATGCTTGAAGTTTGCAATGTTTTTCCAGTCCGTGATTGTAGACATTTTTCTGAACATTTCAGTTGTGTAAAGAAAATGTCTTAACCAAGCTTGCTCGGGAAAATTCTACAAGACTACTGGCCCTCGCTTTTTTTGTACAAATTGAGCACAGACGACTATCAAGATCTTGGGCCAATATCCTGGAGCTTGATTAATTAGATATACCTTTACATGTGTATAAATGTTGTGCCCAAGGCATATGCATGTAAACATATCTAGATAGTACAGGCTAAGGGGGTGATATCATTCTTTAAAAGAAACCAACTATAATAAATCTCATGCTACACTCTGTGACTATCTGTTGAATCTTCATTTTAGTTCAGTCAAGGAAATGGCCAAGCCTAACAAGGAGCTCACACCAATCAATGGCTATTTAACATTTGAACCTGAGGTCACACAAAGAAAGATAGAGATAAGCGCAGTTGATGATGACACCCCAGAGGATGACACACCATATACTTTAGTGCTGTACAGTCCCATGGGAGGTGCTAGATTGGACACTACCTCGGCTGAGTTTAAAATGAGACTTGAAGGTATCTTGATAACAATGCTATCATCTTTATTCTTATTTCTTTTTAAATAAGTATATTAAGACAATGTGGAAGATGTGGTAGCTTTTTTGAGTTACTTTGGCCACGCTCAGAATTACCTTTAAATAGAAGGAAAGCTGAAAATAATAACTTACTAAGATAGAAAAACACCAAAGAGATAATTATAAACCATAAAGGAACAAGATTGGTCGAGAATGGAGAAGATTGTTACGGATTACAAACAAAGAACTTGAAAAATTTAGGCTAAACTTTTCAAGATGCACAAACCGTGATTTGTACAATGAAGTCACAATGTCTTGAAAGTTATTTGGAGCCATGATGGTGATTGACTACTTCTGTGAAAAGCAAGGAAAGATGTGGAACAAAAAAAATGTTTTGACCATTGATTTGAGTCCTGGTTGTGTTGGGTTACTTCAATCTGTGAAAGTGAGAAAAAAAGGGGAAAGGGAAAAAGAGGAAAAAGGCTCATCATTGAGCGTTTGTGCTGTAAGGGGAAAAAGACTATCTTTTCTCCTGATTAGAAAAGCAAAAATAACACCAATGACAACAACTTAACAAAATATATTTTTTGTTATCTTTTAGTCCTGAAGAGTGACAATGCCAATGGACTGTTTGGCTTGAAGTCAGTTAGTCCAATAGTACAGAAGGAGTCCAACAATGTCACTGTGACTATTGAACGATCAAAGGGTCTGTTTGGATCAGCGACTGTCTCCTGGAGCGTGTTTAAGGTCTCGACCTCTGTACTGGCTTCAGATGATTTCATAATGGCCAGTGGTAGTGTAGACTTTGCAGAAAATGAAAATGAGAAGGTAGGCAGAGAGAGAGAGACATGTTTTCTGAAAGAAATATTGTCTGGACAAAGATATACAAAGTGTAAGTGAAGAAAATAGTTTTAGTGTCAAGGTTGTCATTTTGGTAAGAGACAACTATGTGAAAAGTCTAACAGTTATTCTGGATTTCAGTGGGGTTTTCAAGAGTACTCTGTATTTTGTGCGTCCGTCCCCTCCCACCCCACCTAGAAGAAAACAGGTCCTTGAAGATTGGTGATTTGTCCTTGAAAAGTCCTTGAATACCTGTAGTCCTTGAAATGAAACATTCTAGAGATCAAACCAGATCATTCAAAGTATACCAAAATGTAGTAATCTCAATGAAAACTTTGATGTAGTAAACTTCTTTTGAGTTGCTGACTGTGTTTCCATTTTAGGTTGTAACAATTCCAGTGAATGATGACTCATTGCCTGAAGTAGCTGAATACTTTACTCTAAATCTAACATCAGTTTCACCAATGGATGGTAGTACTGCCACAAGTGCTGCCAGCCTGAAACCTGGCTTTACAGAAGTGAACATCACTATTGAAGAGAGTGACTATCCCAATGGATTGCTGCAGTTCATGTCAAATGTACCAGCTGCAAATGAAACAATCTCACCATCATCCTCCCAGTTTAAAATTGACACCAGGGAAAGTGCGCAGACACTCACACTCCATGTGATCAGGGCACAAGGAACACTAGGTGAGATGCCATGCACACGTACATGTATAGCAACACCTTAATGTAACTTAAGAAGTACATGCATCACTGGCTCACCTCGGTTAGTAGGAACCACTAATTTTCAGAGTTCAGAGAAAAATTGTTTTGCCCTAGGTCAAAGGTATGTACATGCAGAGAACAGAGGGTTTTTTTTTCATTTAAATTTTTAAAAAAAAATACTCCTAGTTTCCATCTGGACAAATGTTTTTTTTTTTCCTAGAATGTATTTTTGTACCCTTTCAAATGAGACAGTAGACTATGATGTTATAAACAATTGTTGAGATATTAATTAAAGAATACGATGCGGTCAGTTTTGCGATTTTTTGACTGACGATATTGAGTTAACATAGAAAGGTATTGTTCTGTTGTTCTGTGCACCTTAAATTTATTTCTCAAGTCACGTAAAGTTGCCGAAGCTATGCTATGTAATTATAATTATACTTCGATTGAACTGTAAAACATTTTTATTATTTAAACACTCTTTAGAGATGTAAGAAGCACTTGCCTGCAGTTCATTTTTCTATATTTTTTCTTGTGTTCCAAAATTTCCTCTGTGCTTTATCGAGCTCTAACAGGCATCACAAGAGTTTTTGTATATTGCCTCCACTGTCTATGTCATGTAGTCTCTAAAAGCAGTCCTTCCTGACACAGTTCTCAACCAGATGGCCTTAGCAAACAGTATGTAGCCTCATGAATTTCTAGCAGTGAAATTGCTTACATAAAACTTTATTTTCATTTTTTTTTTCAGGGAGTGTGAAGTGCCAGTGGAAGACTGTTGCAGGCACAGCCAAGTCACCAGAGGATTTTATTGATAGTACAGGCGCTGTAGAGTTTGCATCTGGTTCTCGCAATAGCACAATTAACATCAAAATCATTGATAACAACATCTCAGAGCGTGAGAAGACATTCACAGTGGACCTTTTTAATGCTGAGGGTGGAGGTATGCTTTCTAAGTCAATTCATTATACTTTGATGTCACCTTGTCAGATATACAGTGTATCAAGTATGGGCTGGCCTTGAGACTAGTGGGAGTCCATAACATACTGCTTCATTATAAAACCTTAATAGCCTAGCTGTGTATAGAAGAAATAAGTCGTGTGATCTGATTCAAAATAGAGTGAGAGCACCCAAATTAATCGTTTCCTTGCAAGTTAACTGCTTGTAATTTATTCCAAAATGCATGCTTCACTGGTTCTCGCGAAACGAGATTCTCTTGTCAAGAGTCGAGAATCTCATGTCGAGAGACAAGAATCTGGTGTCTCGAGATGAAATTTTCGTCTCGAGAGAAACGAGACGAGTAGTGGTAAATTACTTTTGAGCGGTACTTTATAGCTCGATTGTATTTTTTGTCTGGTGCTAAGAAGTACGTGTAGTCTCGCCCCATGCATTCAAATGATCTACATGAAAGTTGATATTAAATATTGCATTGGTAATTTTATTTTATAGCCGAATTAAATCCCGCCGCAAAGACAGCGAACGTAACAATTCTTCCAAGTGATGATGCCTTTGGTATCATCAGCTTTGCCCCAGACTCTCTCAGTCGTGTTGTTAGTGAAGGGAGTGGCAGTACTGTGCAATTGACAGTCCGAAGAACACGTGGTTTGTTAGGTCCTTCAAATGTCTACTGGCAAGTGTCAGGACCAGGTGCCCACGATGTGGAGAACACAGATGGCTTTGTTTTGCTGAGTGAATTCAGCAACACCACGCAGATTGCTATCAGGATCAAACAAGATGCTGTATGTTATTTTAGATAATTGTTTACTATCCCTTTCTCCATACCTCCCTCCGTCCGTCAATCTGTCTGTGTGGCTGTCAGTCTGTCTGTTCATCTGTCTGTGTAGCCGCCCGTCTCTCCATGTTTCTCTCTGTACATCTGCTTCCTGTTCCTCTGTCGATCTGTCCGTCTATCTGTCTTTCCGTTTCACCTTACCTCCCTCCCTCACTTACTTTATTTATTGGTGAAGGAATACGCCGGTGTTCAAGAAAACGTCTAGGATCCTCATATCACGTAAAAACACTGTTTTTTGAAAGAATGTATCATTAAAATCACGACTCAGTACTTTCATGTCAAATTATAAATAACACTGTTGAGAACTTTTAACTGTTTTCCAGGATCCCGAGCTTGCAGAGAGCTTTCTGGTTCACCTGATGAACGTGTCTGCAGGCCGCCTAGCAGATGAAGGAACACAGTCCAACATCACCATTCTAGCTAGTGATGATCCGTATGGCGTATTTGTATTTTCTCCTTCTCAACACACAGTCACTGAAAACAACATGACTGTGAACTTGACGATAAAACGCATGTCAGGGAGTCAAGGTGTTGTCAGAGTGAACTACAGTAGCACAGGAGGAAATGCTTCGCCAAATGAGGACTATGTACCCCTCATGGGAGCTGTTGTGTTTAACGACGGACAGACAAGTGCTACTGTTAGTTTGATGGTGCTGGATGACGATAAACCTGAAGCTGCAGAGTCCATAATGGTGAATTTAACGAATGTACAGCTGGTTGGAGGCCATCCAGTGTTTCCTGGTAGTTTATGTTTCTTATTTGGATCGTTTTTAGATGGTTCATACAACAAAAGCGAAGAAACTCCTTGAAAAAAATTGCTCAAGTCATTGCCAGTTTCTAAATATTTCAGTATCTGGAAAATATTTGGTATGGGACTTGGATTAAAGCACAGTAATTTACTTGCACGTGTAAAACAATGGAAAACAGTTGATAAATTTGTGATACCTAATCGCTACATGCATGTACATGAGACACTAAAAGAAACTATTTTGTAATTTTTTTTTTGTTTCTTTCAAGTTTTTGTACGCTTTGTCACTTGATCTGACTGATTATTGACACGAACTTTGTACTTTTGTGTTCTTACATTAATCTTCATTGCTTTCTTTTCTTTCATACAAACCAGCACCAGACAATTCCCCTCGAATAGGTGCATCAAGTGTGGTAGAGGTTGTGATAAACAAGAACGACAATGCTAATGGAATCGTTCAGCTGTCGGCAAGTGCAGTCAGCGTCCATGAACCACACAGTGGGTCGGTTGTGAATGTCACAAGAACAGCTGGGGATTTTGGCACTGTAAGTGAACATGAGTTTGGAATAAGGTGTAATTTAATGGGACATGCCAAATTTTGCGATTTTTGATGTTCATTAAAGTCATTCTGAACCCTTTTCATACTACTATCATACAGCTTAGAAATTACTGCTATTTTAATTAGTGATGTTACACAAAACGTTGTTCGTGCTTTAAGGTCATTCCTCACATTTGCATTGCGCATCCTTACTGCGCATAATTTATGGCGTCATTAGCGCGCGCTTGTGCACACGCATATTGAAAACATGACGGATTTGCCTTGATATTGAGCTCTGTCAGTTGAAAAATG